TCTTTTAATTCTCGTTTTTGAACGCTTTTCTTGAAGACAAGGCCCAGGATCAAATTCATATGACAAGTTCTGATATGTAAGTAGGAATGCGAAGTGGAGAAAAAAGAAGAAAAACCGTTAAAAACTCAATATTCACGCTGCGATTAAAGCTAATGGTAAGAGGCAGACAGCGAAGTGACGTGTGTCGCGGAGATAGAAAAGAAGTACGAGTCGAGAGAACACAGCAGATCAGCACTACGTCAGATAAGATATGAAAGGTGGGCGGGCACGGATCGTTTAGGGCTTGGGTAATCCAAGTCTTCAGCGCCTAGCTCCTTATCGTTAGTGAGGCGTTCCGAGGCGCGGAGGTGATGCTACCTCTGCAGTGGTGCCTAGCACTTCTATTCACGGGTGGGGCTTTTCCATCGAGGCGGGCCTGACCTTAGCCTTTGAATCAGCAAAATTTAGTTGATTAATGCAGTAAATGTAGCGGATTAGGAGCAACATGTAAAATACTAGTTTACTACTACATATGTAAAATGTAAGCGATCAGAGTGAGTCATCCTTCAAGATGTTTGAAAATTGAAGATAGGGAAAACGAAGCAACATGGGATATAATTTCTAGTCCATAGCACACATCAGAAAGAGCACGGCGTAACACAACAATCAACATGAAAAGCATGGCCAGAACAACAAAATATTGTGAGGGGGAGGGAGAAGCGCATTTGTGATATTGAGGAAGAGTTGTATTTAGGTTCGACGAGAGGTCGAGGTGGTGGAAGGAAAGTGTCGTACCTAGAGAAGGGTTTTTCCCACAATGACAATAAAGTAGGAGTCATAGAATTCTTTGGAGAAAACGTGATGTAATGGAGGAATATGGGTAGAATTTCGAGAGCTACCTGTGCCCTTGCGCGAGCTCGATGCTCTCTGGGTGGGGGGGGGGGTGGTTGGTCCAAGTGGTGAGTGCAGGTTCGCGCGACGCTTATCAATTCGATCCATGAGCCGTTGCAAGAAGGAGTTTGGTGCGTTACTTTTTTTGTAGGGTGATGTCGTCCTGAATTCCGAAGTTTTGCGAACAGGTTATGGCTGACGTGTATTATGGATAGTGAGTCGGTTGGTGCTTCCGAAATGGCGAGGTACATTGTACGGGCTTATCCGAGAAACAGAGGCTGTCGGAACGGTAGAGATCTTTTTGCTTCACTGCCGAGGGTTTATTTTTATTCAGAGTAGTTCAAACCTGACGTAAGTTAGAAGTTATACCCAGGGTGAAAACAGGTTTCTAAGTCGCGTACCTTAATTTACTTCTCCAAGTGATTAGATCGCTTCTTTGAAATACAATTATTCTGAATTAATTATTCTTACGTAAGCATTTGGGAAAAAATTCGAGACTCTGTGCTACTGGCATTTTCAAATGGCAATCCAATTTTTCATTTACGAGTTAGGCGAAAACATAACGGATCGGTGAAGTAGGCAATATTCTGAGACTATGACCTTCTTTCTCGTCCCCCTCCACCAAAAGTCTGTTCGAGGACTGTTTTGGAGGCGAAATGTGAGCGGAGGTTGGGGGGTGTGTCGACTGGTCTCAGAATCGACTGAGGAGCAGGATATGGCCAGGTTAAGAGCGAGAGGTGGTTATTTTGGGCGACTCAGGCGATGGTGTGGGGTCGTTCGGGACGTTCGAGGTCTCGTCAGAGGTTTGGGTGCTGTACACGTGGGTTGGCATGCCATTTTTTGAACAGAAATGTATGTATGGGACTGCTGCTATACTATACTGTCACGAGAATCGGGGAATTCGTGAGCCAGGGGGAGTGTAGCCAATCTAGGGGGTGAGGGCAGTCACTTGACATGCGTGAAAAGCTGGGCGTGCCCACCCACTTGTATAGAGCCGATTTTTCGAACTGAAAGAACAGTGGGCGAACCTGTTGCGATCTAAATAGGGTGATGCTCGGTTGGCCTGGGCAACATTTAGTTCAGGGCGATCACCGGAATGTGCTAGTGGGAATTGATGCTACTTTGCATAACGCCTCCGCTTGATAGTCTTATTTGAAGAGCCGCGTTGCCTCGGAAGAAATATCGAAAGAAGGAATATTGTGTCTCAAATTCAAGAAAAGACTCGAAAAACTTGTCTGAAATTGAGCAAACACTTTGAGGACAATATCAGGATCCCTCATATTTCTTTATGAACAGTCGGTCACTAAACCGCCAGACAGAACTTTGTGAATGATCCTTTGATTGCCTAATAGAAGATGGAAGGGTAAATTTGTGAGAGCTATTCCCAGCGCTCTGCCAGAATCTTATCAACCCAAGTCAGTGGCTCGACGTTGATAGAGTCTGGCCTGTCTCCTCTTGATCCCACAGCAATTCCCTAGTGAAGAGCTCGAATGCTTGCAAAGCTTGGACAAGTAAACAATCGACGAGTTGAAAATTGTTGTGATGAATAGTGACAAGATATGAATACATTTAGGGATATCTGAGCCTCATAGTTCACTAGTTGTTATTCCTCTAATAGTAAGTGTAAAACACAATGGTTGCGTTTTCATTTTTAGATCTGCCCCTACCGGTGTTCTTGTGAGACCTTTTTGCTTTATTTACCTCAAGTATTTTTTTCCAAAAACTCATAAAATAATAGATACTTTTACGAGAAATATTCAAAAATAGCTCGGAGTTCAAAAGCTCGGAGAACAAAACTCGAGCATTCTGGGTTTAGATCATTAGTCAAAAGAAGAACTAGTATGTAGATGGAGAATACCTAATATACCTGATAACGCGGGAAATAAGGCCTCGATCAGCGACATGTGAGAACCCTACAATTTCGAAAGAAAGTGGAATGCGTAGCGCACCATAATAAGAGCTTGATCAACGCTAACCTCCATTCGCTTTGAAATAATTTACATCATCTGAATGTGCGCACTGAAGTTCACAGTTCCCTCCTGATCGATTCTTGTGTACTACATTGTCTAGTTGTGCTGAAAGTGGACCTATGCCTAGTCGCGGTGGTTTCGCATGGGTGCGCCGTGAACGCATGTATAGCTGATGTCTCCGAGTGGCTTACAAATGCCCTTCCTGGCCTTTCCGTACCTGTGCTGCTTACCGTGGCTGCCGTGGCATCGTCCTAGAAAAAGGGCCCTACGCAGCCGTGAGCACTCCACATTAGTGTTGCTTGCCGTGGCTGCTGTCTCCATCCACTGGCTTACGCCCGTGTCATCACCCATAATTCCCACACCTGTGCTGCTTGCCGTGGCTGCCGTGTCCATTCATCGTCCTAGAAAAAGGGCCCTACGTAGCCGTGAGCACTCCACATTAGTGCTGCTTGCCGTGGCTGCTGTCTCCATCCACTGGCTTACGCCCGTGTCATCACCCATAATTCCCACACCTGTGCTGCTTGCCGTGGCTGCCGTGTCCATTCATCGTCCTAGAAAAAGGGCCCTACGTAGCCGTGAGCACTCCACATTAGTGCTGCTTGCCGTGGCTGCTGTCTCCATCAGGTGGCTTACGCCCGTGTCATCACCCACGATTCCCACATCGGTGCTGCTTGCCGTGGCCCCCTTCCTGGCCCAAACCATTCCCGCACCTACGCCGCTTGCCGCGGCTGCTGTTTTCAGCCAATGGCTTACGCCCGTGTCATCACTAATACTTTCCAGACTTGTGCTGCTTGCCGGGCTGCTGGCGTGCCGAATTATTCGTTTTTACTAATGCGTGTTAGGCCGGGTATCCATTTCCTCAAATACCTCTGCGACCATTAACTTGGAACGGTACATGGCTGATAAAAATTCAGGAATAGCTACTATACGCTACACATTTTGATGACCACAAGCAATTTTGAACTTGAATGCTTCCAGTTGGATCCCATTACCAGTAGCGGACCAGTAACTGCATCCACGTGAGGGATCTCTTCTTGTTCGCGAAATGCGCCTTGAATCAGTCGAACATGCGCATCGGAAGAGAAATACGAAGTTCAGATGGAGTTGGAGTGAGGCGACCAGACCAATCGCTGCCTGTGCTATCAGACTTCTCTTTACGTCATCGCAGTAGGTCACTTCTCGGTAGATTGTGGCAGCGATATAGCGACAGCATCGAAGTCACTATGTCCCAATAGAATTCGTAGATTAGGCACGAATTTAGGGGTTTGCGATCCTGAACGTTTCGGCTAAGAATCCGAGGTGAAGCGTGATTTATCCTTGACGACACGTTTTTGCTTTTTGACCGCGTAGGGCTGGCGCGTTTTGAGAGTGCCGCCGATCACCTTACATATTTATGTGCGTGAATTTCAAACCACGGTCTGGAATTCCCTTTTGGCAGCGACAAAATAGGCTGAAAGGAATGGTAAATGTGCACTTTCGTGTAGCAAAACTTCGCGTGCAAAGTTTGATAAGTTTTGCACGTGAGAAAATTTCCAACTTTCTGGAAGGTTCTGCTGCATAGACTCTCCATTTATTACCATATCCAGGCGGGTGCAAATGCGGGCTTATGGTTAGCGGCACAGACGTCACATAAGACTTTACTATTCTCAAAATCACATGTGACACAGCTTTTTCGAGACCACTGCGATGCTTGTAATTGCTACTCTGCAAAATCAGTGCTGCACGTGGACGTCAAGGATCACCATGTATGCTTTTAGGTTTTGGCCGCATGTGCAGTCAGCAAAATAATGCCTAAAAATTAGTAAAAATGTGGCATTTTCTAGCTGAGCGTGAGTTCCAAGCAAAAATTGAACAATTCTTTTCTAGACAATCTACTTACTAGACAATCTCTAAGCACATGACCTACAGCTTCAGCTGCTTCAGACTAACTTGGCTATGATTGGCTAATTGTCAAGCGCTCCTTGCGCATGCGCCAATCGCAGTCGCGATTCAGTACAGATTTTTCCACATATAGATAGGCTTGACGTTTTTATCACTAATAAGTCAGAGCAAGTAGAGCTGAAGAGGGTCTTCAGGTTAATTGTTGTCTACTCCGAAAACGGAAACATAGCATAACAAGATGAAAGTATTGAAAGTCAAAAGAAGATTTCATTTTCAGGACCACAAGAGCCTCTTCCGGGCCGGTCGCATCTCGGCGATTACTGGCCAGTGTTTCCTTTCCAGAATCAGTTCTCCGGAGGTCTCGACTTGGACCCTTCGATATCGCGGGTACTGCATCAACATTTTTGTTACTATGAATTATGAATGGATATCAAGAGAGTTAGGAAAGCGACCTATGCACAACGATAACGCGGAGCAAATATCGTCTTCGGATCAAAGGATTCGCAGAATATCAGAAATCATTCCTTGGAATCCAGCAGCGAATTCAATCTTCATTACTCCAATAATATAACTGTCCTAGCGAAAATGCGTCTAAACATCTCAGGCATGATTAAGGAAGGAAATTCTCATTTCTAGTCTCAGACACATGAGGCAAAACAGGGCACGAGGGTAAGAGGGAATACCAGGAGGAGGCAGGCTATTGCTTGAAGTTCCGCCTCCCCCCCCCACCCTCTTCCTTGGTCACGTCAGAGATCAGTGCTTACCTCTCTCTCCTTCGTCTGAGGAGGTGATGCTGGGATCCGATAGTACCAAAATTTATTTTAACGGATCAGACTCCTACAGTAGATGAAGCATTACTTATGAAGGCGCTTAAAATGCGGAATGGGCCCTTCGAGAAACGTTCAAGTCTTGATGCGAAGACTAGTAAGTCTTGGTTTTATTGCTTTTCTCATGAATGGGATTTTCCTCGAAAATCGCCGCAATCAGTGGAGCAGGTAGAGACCTCAAACAGCATAGCGTCAGCAATAACGTCAACCGACATAGTTGATCATGTTGTGTGGCCGATTTCAGAACTTTAACAACCTCCCCTCCCCTTGACCTCCGATGGTTGATAATGAGCTTTACTACTGACACCATGAACGTTGGAAGGTGGACAAGGTCGAAAAGGGGGAGGAATAGCATCGCTCCATCAAGAAAGAAGAGAAAGGAGGCGCGTGGGCTGAAACTCCCGAACAGGTGTCTCACAGTAAGCCTGTCGTTTTGTGAAACGGATAGACGGACTTTAAGTTTGGAATCTAAGGCTAAAACACATCCACTGCTGTGTACGGATGTGAAAATGGTCTGTGGCACTGTATTGCTACATTCAGCATGGCTTCATTGTTTTAATGTAACAATCGTTCTTCCTACACAGGCTGCTACGCTGAGGCAAAAGTGGCGCGGGGCATATTTCCAACTTACGACAACAGATCGTATCAAACAGATCGCGTTCGGGCGTCTGCCGATCCAAGTAAACAGTGAACTTCTGGGACGGTAGTAAAGTGCCATAGACTGGGAGTTAAAGGTGGTGAACTACGGCCGTAACGGTGAATAATGAAAGGCGAGACAGCCAGATGACCCCGCTCTGAATGGCGAACTTCACTACATTCCTAGCAAAACTCGTATCGCCCATGGCCTTGAACCAGACGCTCAATGCGACCAATGCATGACGTGCAGAGAAAGGGGAAAGTGCATGGGGATTGAAGAGACGCAGATAGACGGCGACTAAAATGTACTCAGGGGTACATTTTAGTCGCCCTCTACATGACCCTCTGCGTCTCTGCAATCTCCACGCACTTTCCCCTTTCTCTGCCGGGTTCGCCGTCTAGGCAAGGTGCCACCTAATACGTTGGCCACTTAAGATGTGGCCTAGACCTCGCCCATTGCGGCAGGTCAGCGCGAGTTTCCCGCCTTTCCCAATGCTTTTTAGGTGCGGACGAAGGCGACGTCAACGTGACCTATTGGCCAACTATAGACTGGCCGTTTAGGAGACTTTACTACCGTCCCTGTGACGCTCATCCCATGTGTTCCGCGAAACTGGTCCCAGCTCTGCTGTCGTGGACTCAGCAACGTGAATATAGCCACATAATTGCAGCATATTGGAGGAGACATGAACATCGCTGTACCGTCATGGGGTATGCTCGACATCTACGGAAGATTTTTCAACAGGTTCTCCTTACTCTTACTAATACTGCTGGACTGAACTGAGATTTGATCGGTCGCCAGTTCGAGAAAATCTCGTTGAGTTCTCGTATGCGGACAGCAGCATCAGAACTTTTACTTTGATTTTTTTGCAGACTTCTTATAAGTGCTGAAAGCAATAAGAATAATTATAAAGTTAAGTAAATTTAATATATAAAGCTCAAGAAGCCATTGCCGAAAATCATCGACAATCTATCTTCGGTCAATTTAATGAAACATTATAGAATCCACGACACAACCACTAAATTCGGATACCTCAACTACCCGGTCAACATGTTGGATTTGGAAAAAGAAGATTTTGTCAAGCTTATGAGTGATCCATCACTGCAGTACAACAGAAGTATGACTTTTCAGTACTGATATGCATAGAGTGAAATACTGATTTAAACTTCACCATTCCCTTGATATCACTTAAAGGTACGTTCACGATTAAACTAATGGACCAATGTCTCTCTCGAATAAGGTTGCCGTGTCCATAACCGTAACGTGGGGTCGCTTTCGCCACTTAAACGCGTGGAAAGTTGGCTAGTCGTATAGGTAACTTGCAACTGTGGTATCCAAAAGCAACTAACCACGCCCACCGTCTGGGTCTCGCCCCCCCCACCATGCTCTTTCCATGTGCTCTCGTCTTCTTGTGTGTTTCTCTTGCATTCCTGCCCAGACTCTCCTGCACTGTTGTTCCCATAATTCCTAACACGCAGAAAGAGAATGACCTAATTAGGGTTGTGTCAGTGGTTTTCTGTCAGTTTTTCTAAGTGACAAGTTAAATTCTACTTTGACTTGTTCAAAGATGAATCCCAATATCCTTTTCTGGTGTAGCGAAATATGCATTTAAGTCAGCCATTGCCAAAATTATTTGAGTCTGCATCTATTCCTTCGTGGATTTAGTTAGGGTTCCCCTTAACAAGTCTATGACCTGGAAACGACGGAAATATTGGTAAACTCGTGTGGTGTTTGGCAGCACCTTGGGTGTCAAGTTTGCAATTTCCCACGAACTTGCCCCTACATCTCGACAATAAACGAAGTTGCGGAATTTTCCACATTCTGACAACGCAAAATTCGGGGACCAATTCTTCCCTTGGTCCTCAAATCACTGCGACTCGAACGCTCAGAAGTTTTTGATCCTGCTCACAATCATTGCTTCCCTCACCTGCTGCAGTGAGTGCAATCGTGGGTTGAAGATCACCCAGGAATTGAACTCGTCAATTATTTAGCGATACTTTTGGTTACTGCCAAGAGCTGTCCCGCCCATTCGAATGAGATGTAACCATTGAACTTGCTGGCTTCAGTTCAGTTATCTGGAGAGAACTTCGTGGATGTTGATCGTTCGAAGAATAGCATCTAGTAGTATGGCCATAAATGAATAAATAAGGATCTGTGCAGTCGTGGCTCACGCTATTTCTCCATGCATCCCTAAAGAGGCAACGATTTGGTGACGGAATCTGTTGCCATCTCAGGCTAAAGTCTCCAATAAGGAAGTGCTGGCTTTTCGAGCCAAAGTTGAGAAAAAGAAATCATATCAAAGTTTCCCTGTTCATCATTCCGTCAGAGTTCTACAGTAGTCTACAGCGATCAAATGTTGTGATAAGCCCAGCATCTGGCCCTCACTGGGCTTTTCTTCGCTGACGCAATAAGACCGATATTGCAGGCATAGGTCGCCACTACATCCCCAGAGAAATTGTATGCTCGGCTGATGTAGAAGGGCCCTCAGTCACAAATTATGTGCTATTGCCCAACTTCAAACTGCGCGACATGGAAGTTGATGCCTTCGCTTTACCGCTGCAACCGCTGCCACGCACGTAAATCGCAGCATATGTGGCGCTTGCACCCTCTCGCATACGATTGGCCCTTCCATTTTTCCTATCCTCGCAGGACTGCTCTTCCCCGTCGCCCTCTGTAGTCACATTCCCACTTCTTGTTCAATTTTTAAACAAAACAACACACCCATTTGTTCGCGACCCGCCCGTGCCTTTGAGTGCATGCCACGGAGAACGTCGGTGGAGCTTAATTGGCTCGAACAGGGACCGGTGATCCTGTGGCCGTAACGCCGCCTTTACCTCACCTATTTTTGGGTGGAAACTTCGACGTCTTCTGGCTAGCTAGATCTTTTGGGAATCAGTAATAGATCATGTACTCATACTTCAGATGCACAACCTCGTCTACCGCTGGGAAAACTCGCACGGACTTATGTTCCCATCAACTGCAAGCCACCAATGTGTAACCCGTACCATGCCAACTTTGGTTTCGGCGTAAGTTTCGCTTTGTTGATGGTGATTAAATATTTGCGAATCGAAAAAATGTGGTAACGGTACTGATCAGTCATCACTTCATAGGATGCGCTACGCACTCTACTTCAGTTTGAACTTGTTCTGCAGTGCTTACGGGCTTGCCGACATAGAAGCTGTTATTTCTGTGCTGACAAATCTGGCACTGCCATTAAGTAAATCCGGCGCTCTTGGCTGGCCTGGAAGACGTCCCGTCGACGATTTCGACCCCAGAGCGCGCGCTTGGTGCGCCGCGCCAGATGCAGCACACCACTTCCGCCCATGTTCGCATTCGGCACAGAACATTACCTTCATAGTGGTAGAAAATATATAGCAGTACAACGTTGATCACACAGTAGAATAAGCCCTTGTCATTCCTGATTCAGTCACACCACAGGCTTCCACATGTCATAACGGTTGAGCAGGAGTAGCAAAATGCTTGGCTTTTAGATTTACACGTCAAAAACGCTCCGCTGGTCCGCTCGCACGCCGATGATGCTTGGTCCTTACTGCCCGAAAAGCTGCCTTCTGCTCTCGTCTGCGCTCTCTTGCCTAGAATGTGGCGAACCACCGCTCTAGTGCAGGCGCGCCACCAGGTCATTGCGTTAGCCAAATTTTTCAATGGGCTAGATCCCTACCAATTAGGCTCCGAAAGGTCATATTTGGAATCCACACTCCGCCTCCCAAAGCTCCAATTTTCAGATAAATTTAATGGCATTTTTTAAACAGAAGAACTCGAAAAAGCCCATACCAAAAGAAAAGAGTGTCATTTTCCCTCAGTACGATTCAATTACCTCGAAAAATCACAAACACCATCTTTCTCGTTGAACTGTGACCAATGGACAGCTGACCCTGGTCCTAGGCTGTCGTGGGAGTTTCTGAATGGTTCTATATTTGGCAGAAGATGATGTGGATTGAACCGAAGCGAAAAAATTATGACCAAGCGCTCTAGAAATTCTGACCTCCCATAAATGAAATGAACTACGAAATTTCAGGTGGAACACGACTTTGGAGGTAACGATGGTGTTGAAGGTGATATTGACGTGCCTATTCCAATCTCAAAGGGTGTCGCCTATAGGTTCCCGTTCTCCGGAAAAATATATGCATGTGAGTAATAGGAAACCCATTTCTCATGTACCATTTATATTTCACATCCTGATACGATTACACTTTTAGTCCGCGACAATGTGACGGTTACGTACGGACAGAATTTGGCACCTGTTGACCCATTTATGAGTCTGTTCGAGTATCAAAAGTATCGCGACCCTGGACTTGCTATACCACGTCGAAGAAGAGACGTGTCGTATTCGGAAAAGGTTTGGCATTTTCACCTCTTGTTGAACTCACTTAAAAGCACAACCCAGGCAGAATTCGAGTGAAGGATGAGAAATCTTTCTTCTTTATGATAGAGTCCAAAGGGAACCCGCAGATGTGGCGCTCCCGTGCATAGAAATGGCCCAACAAGGACCCCGGGGCTTTGCAAAGACAGCTGCAGCAGCTGCAATTTCCCGTTCGCAGCAGGCTGTTGTCTGGCGCCCTCTCATCTGTTGCGCTCTCTCACCCATACTCTCCTCTTCGCGCTCAGTCTCTCATTGCCTTAGCACAACTGCATAGCATAGGTAAAGAAAAGCCCTTAACAAAGCGCTTTCCACATATTCCTTTTTTTCTTTATTTCCAGCCCTGATGAACCATTTGATCCCGAGTATGCCTTTGACCTGTGCCACTCCGACCTAATGATCATCAATTCCACTCAGGGTTAACCGTTACGCTGAACACCATTTTTTCAAATTCGGACTACCCCTCCCCTGTACGGTTCAGGTTTTACATCAGTGATAGCGTCGTTGTACCTGCTATCACCTGACACACCTCCACGCTTTCAAAATTCAACAAAGCTTTGTCCTGCGTGGAGGAAAGATTGTTAGGTGGTTATGTTTCTGAAACAGCATGTTTTTCCTCTTTTCGTATGTCTCACCTAAAAAAATAGAATACTCACTACGAAATGTGAATACTTCCAAAGCTCACAAACGGCTCCCTTCCTCGATGGCAAAACGCCCAGACGGTAGACTTAGTCCGCCGGCTTACCCACCAGCACAGTGCTAAAGTTGCTCTTAAGCCTCAGTATCATAAATGTGTTTCAATTTCAATTTGTAGGTCTGGCAGAACGAGCCCACTAGTGCGACTTACGAGGAGCATTTGAAGTCACACAGTGTGGAGCATCACGAAGTCACTGTCACCCAGAGGAAACAGCTCACTGAAATTAGTCGTCCTCCGCAGCAACACTTGGACCGCGATTTCTTCCCAGGCCCAGAGCCTAGATCCGCTCCCTTCTCAGTACAGCCTTCACAAATTGTGTTTTATAATGACTTCAGAAAGGGAATTCTTTCCGTACAATCCATTCATTATGACACCACTGGTCGCAAGTGTCCCATGGGTCACGAGTCCCACGTGGGAGATCACCCCACAGGAGTTATATGATGAGTTCTATCCCTATGACAGTGCTATGTTTCTGTGATATGATTACTGATGTGCTTTAAATTTAATAATGTTGCAATTCTCTGAATAAATATAACCCTGGAATTAGATGATACGTCTCTCCTTCCCAGAAAAAAAATTGCCCAAGGGTATTACGTTCCACGCCAGAGAAATGACGAATTCTTTCTGATATCACTCTCTTCGGTTATGAGCAGTGGGAGCAAATTTGAGGCGGGTACGCGAGCCGTTCAGTTTTCAACAGCTCAATTTTCTCTTGTCGTCTGGGCTCTCTTACCTATGGCGGTCGCCGGCAGCCCCAACGCAAGTGCGCCAATATGCGTTTTTGGCGCGTGCGGACCCTTAGAGTGTGCTTTTATGGCTCACCTTGTTCGAATCAATGCTGCTAGCAATTTTGAAATAAGTTTTTTCATTTCAGACGGAATTTATTATATTTGCAGTTCTCTACGATCGTGTTGCTCGTTCATACAAATAAACATAGGTGTCTTTTTTGATTTGTACATTGATCAAGTGACGATAAAATAGAAAAATGTAAAAGTACCCCGGGATTATAATGCCAAATAAGCTGCAAGCAAGACTGTGATATAAAGCGGAACACTTGCACTCTCCGTCGTCGATTCCACCGTAGTAGAGGATGGCTCTGGTGTTGACGTCTTAACAGGTGGTGCTGGTGGAGTTGGTTTCTTCGTGGTTACCGGCGGTGGTGCTGGAGTTGTCGTTGTGATTGGTGGAGCAGGTGGAGCAGTTGACGTGGTCGTATGTGGTGGTGCAACTGTGGTGGTAGTGGATGATACTGGTGGAGGGGTTCTCGATGTTGTTGTCGATGGTGCCTTCGTGGTAGTCGTTGTTGATGTCGTAGTAGTAGTCGTTGTTGTTACTCGTTTGGTTGTAGTACTAGGGGTAGGTTTCTTTGTTGAAGTGCTTGGTACGGGTGGCTGTGTAGTTGTAGTAGTAGTACTTCCTGGAAAATCTTCACTTTGTATACTTTACTAACAGCTACGACACCATATTTAGTGCTGAAGAGAACAGTAAACCCACTACTTGGAGCTGTTGTCGTTGTTGAAAGCGTTGTCGTGCTAAGGCTTCGGGATAAAGTGCTCTGTGATGTGCTAAGTCGGTTTATTAGCGTTGTGGTGAGGATGGCAGTGCTAGTTGTATCTTCAAAGGGTAACGATGTGGTCACTTGAACAGACCTTGACACAGTTGACGGAACAGTTGATTTAGTTGTTACTACAGGAGCAGAGCTAGTAAGCATCGTGCTAGTGCGAGGTGTGCTAGGGGTAGACGCTGGTGCAGTGGGTGCTAAGCTTTGTGTCACAGTGGAGGTGAGAACAAGAGGTGTGCTTGTAAGAGCAGGTGTGGAACTATTGGGCGCTATGGAAGCAGATGTTGATGTCGTAGAGAAAACTGCTGTCGTGCTAGTTTTTAGGCTGGGGCTGACGGAGGTGGATAACAAAGTGCTAGCTGGAGTTGGCGTGACACTGGTGGAAGAAACTGAAGGCGTGCTTGCCGGCACTGCTGTCGTGCTCCTACTTGTTAAAATAGGGATGGTGGAAGTGGACACAAAAGTGCTGGTTGGGATTGGCGTCAAAGTTGAGGAAAGGACTGAAGGCGTGCTTGTCGGCGCTGCTGTCGTGCTGCTACTTACTGGACTAGGGCTGATGGAGGTGGACACAAAAGTGCTGGTTGGAGTTGGCGTCAAAGTCGTGGAAGGGGCTGGAGGCGTGCTTGTCAGCGCAGCTGTCGTGCTGCGACCGTTTGTAGTACTTATGAGTGATGCACTCGTTGATGACGTACGTTGCGTTGTCGTCGTCGTGCCAAGCGAAGGAGTACTGCCGCTAATCGTCGGAGGAGCAACAGTCGTCGTTGGCAACAATATCAGTCGAGGCACTAAAAGCAGACATGTTTGGGGACCATAGTACTACTGCTGAGAATTGCTAAGGTGACACAGATCACTTACAGTGTCAAACTGGACCACTGGACTATTTAGTGAGTGTTCTACGCTCTATGCCATAATTCATTGAACGTCGAACTCATATATTAAATAAGTATTAGTGAGTAAAAATTTCTTAAGAGCAACCTGTTTATGGGATTCGATGCGTGCATTCAAGCTCGCTCCACGGAAAAGCGGAGCGGGTGCGGGCGTGCTTGTGACGTCATTGCGCCGTGATGAGACGCGAATGAACGGACAATACTCCAATGCATAGCACCTAGTATTAGCATTAAGCGCAAACTAATTTCACAATAAAATAAGTGCTGCCAAGACAAAATGAAAGAACGAATGATAATACTCATTCAATCAACTCCAACTCAATCGTGTACTCCTTTCCCAGGGTTAACACGTGATCAATTTGCCTTCCATTTTGAGCAAAACTTCCAAACCTTCTAAAAATAAAGAAAACCTTGAAGACCCCTTAAATAGGGCACCACAGATTGGGAGGGTGCGCTAGGCTGGTGAGATGCCAGCCTAATTGTGACGTCAGCAGCACGCGCTCGCGTCCGCTCTGCTGATGAGTATTACGTGTACAGAACCCATGCAATGAATAGCGAGAAAAACCAAATGTTTTGACTAAGTTATTAATCTTATTAATCCTTTTAGACGATTCCGGCCCTATTGAACGACTTGAATAAGGTAGAATAAGTGGCTAGTATAAATTGGGTATACAATTCGATACACGGACCATGCTATAACGGTGACATTAACTACCACTTTTTCAACCGCGTCCCGCTCCACCTAAAACTGCTACCGTTTACGTTGAATCTAGCGATTCGAAGTGAAGAAGAAGATCCTATAGCCACGATTCACGCTCACGGTCTGAGGATCAAATCCGGATCCAATCTATCCAATCTCGCCCGAACCGGCTAAGCCCTGATTCCCTCCGAATTCGGACAGCTAGGCACCAAACTCATTGATAGCACATAAAGACTGGCTTGTTTAGTGAATGGCTCCCACAGATCTCTGTGTAGCCCAAACCCTATTCATGTCCCTCTATGAGTCTGGATCTATAAGAAAGTGGCGCATCTCAGGAGGACGAAAACGAAAACGACGAGACGAAAGACGAAAAAACACGAAAAAAAAATTTCAAGGAAAGGATATATTTTACACGGGAGCAAGATCTCATTTCAAGATATGCTGGAACCTAAAGCCTCATTTTTTGAAGCTTCAGGAGAAATAAGGCTTCTGCCCGTTTTATTCTGGAACCATCCTATAGCCTTAGTGACTTATTGAGCTCACCAGAGTCAACTCTCCGGTTGTTCAATTTCAGAACTTACAAGTACTCACTCTTACAATCTTGGGAGGGGAGGGGGAGAAAAGGAGCGGAGGAGGGGGCCGTCAGGGGGTCCGTATTATGATTCCTCCCCTTCCTTCTACGATTGTGAGATCGGGCGCCAGCTCTGCCTTCTTTTTTATGCTTGAACAGCCGCAGAGTGGAAGCACGGGAAACGGTATGGGGGTGATGATGTCTTCCACAACCATGACCCCTTCCCCTTCCGCAAAAACACCTCCCCCGTACACCCTCTTCCAATAGAATGGTAACGTTGACCAGCTCGAAATATGGCCTCTCCTCCAAGAAACTCAAGTACGACCTCTACCCATTGGGAACTGCGTAACTGACGGTTGACTCCGACACAACTTACTATTAATGGCTCCCATGTATCCATACGTAGCGTTTTCCGGTCTGTCCAATAACAAATGAGGCATATGGTCCATTGGTGTCATAGGTGGATGTGAGCGTGTGGAATCCTTTCTTTGGAATGGTTGCGGTGAGCGTGTAGAAGTTAGTGCCGTGGATCGGAATCGTGATATTTGTTAGGATTCTTGGCGTACGACATCAAAGAAACTCCGTCAACTTTCGCTGACATGCAGAATCCAATGGCGCAAATCACCTAAAACGGTTGTATTTATTTTTGAAAACATTAAAAATCTTTAGGGTTACTTGTGGGGAAAAGCCTCAAAAAAACGAACATTAAAAATTGTGAATGTTTACGAAAACTCTGCAACAACTCACTAAAATTTCTATCATCTGAATTCACCCACGACTTGAAACATCATCGCTCTAACACTCTATTTTTTGACCTATACATAAATATTTGCCCATTTACTGTTTTCAGCAGCTCAAAATTTGTAGGGCTAGCCAAGGAGCGTGAAGATCAGTGTTACAAGTCGAATGTGCCCGTATAAAAATAAGCGTGAGAGATAAATTAATCCCAGAAGGGTGTCAAGTACGCCATTTGGTATGCATCACAGGATATGCTTCTGCCGACATGTTTTCTGCAGGGTACCAAGGTCCCTTAAGTCCGATCACTGCAACCTTCAGGGAAGCCCATTAAATCCTTCCAAAAACACCGCTCAGAGGAAGCACTGCCATAACTTTGAGATAGCATTTTTCACAGAAACAAAATATGATATAATGGTCGAACCTAACCAATGTAAGCTAGCACTCAGTAGCAAAGACGAAACGAATAGCGATTGAGCTTGAAGGCAATTCCGTGGGAGCTGAAGTTTTGGGGTTCGATTATGAAGCAGTAGGTGGTTGTTAGCTTCTTCTGAGAGAGAGAACAGGAAATAAGTTATCGAAAGCGACCTAAGCAGGGCCCTTATGGTTAGTTTTCGGTGTGGTGGGATACTCTCAGAGAAAGTAGCCTACAAGGGAGGTCTTTCAGGGCAAGTGCGCTTTTTCAAAACGGTTTTGTGCATATTGTAGGGACGCATGTAGGGAACGCAAAACCATGTTTCATTTTCGCTGAACGGTTATAGCAGTACCAAAAAAGAAGCATAAGGTACTGTTAATGGTTCGATCCCCGTGGCGACTAAATTTTGCATTTGGGTTGGCGCCTACGGTTTGGTGCCAAATCGCGCTAAATGTCAAAATCAGATGTCATATTCATCGTCAGGACCATTTTGAAGCCAACAAGTGGCCGCCAACCTTGATTGCAAAATTTAGTCGCCGCGGGGATCGAACCATCAAGGGTATCATTCACCACTTTTTTGGTACTACTAAAACCGTTCAGCGAAAACGAAACATGGTTTTGTGGTCCATACATGCGTCCCTACAATATGCAAGAAACCGTTTCCAAAAAGCGCGGCTTGCCCGACTCCCCTTGTGAGAGACATAGGGCGCAGAAGCAAGCAAACGAAGACGGAGACGAGAGAGTTCAGAGAAGAAAGAGACACCAGGCGTGCGCAAAACACGTCCTTAGCCGCCTAACACCTTTTCCAAGAGTCAAGTCTCGAAGATGGTCCTGTCTTAAAAGATGCGAGCTGCACGTATGGATTGATCCGATGAATTAAGAAAATGTGCTATCAATGTTATATGTGAATAAGTGCATAATTAAAGAACACGTGAAAAGAGCACAATCCCATG